TTTACCGGCACTGGGACGAAGGCAGGAACTCCGGATGGCTAAAGAAAATCCTGTAGCATTCCACTAAGAAAACAACCTTCTGAACAATTTAGTACATTATCTCAAGGTTTTTTTGCATTTGAAATAAGCATTAATAGTGCTCATTACTCATCAGCTTCCAGGTGTGGGAGAACCATTGTAGCTTAGTTATTGGCATTGAAAATGACCAAACATCAGGGACACCAGTAGTGTCTTCTGCTGGCTGTATTGCCTAGGCAGCCCCAGATGGCCCTGGGGAGTGTCCCGGACTCAAACTGCTACTGGGCACAGGGAGCAAGAGCCTGTGTGACTGTGCCTCCAGGTCAGGTCTAGATTTGGGCTCTCAGCAGTGGAAGAGCCGGCTGCTGCCATTTGGAAAGCCCTTGCTGCGCCATGACCACCTTGCGCATGTGGCAGCTGCGGCGCCGTTTCACGCACCCTCTGGTAACGAAAAGTATTCAGTAATAGCCTTTTGTTGCAACTTTTTTCCTGATAATCCTTCTTCTTCTTAACTTTCTTTTTCTTTCTGACTAGAGTTTCTGGGCTTCCATCAACACATGCCCTAACTATTCTTGGTTCCACTGGGGTGCCTTCTTCCCTTAGTAATTTACTTCTCACCCCTTCCATATTTTCATCACAAAGACAATACAATACACTGAGACAAAACAAGACACAAACATACTGTATCAATCTTTTCCATTTTCTCAAAATGGTAATTTTTCCTCTCGCCCTATCTGTCTAGGTTCGAGCAGATTTGCTCCCGTCCTATCTATGGACGGGCAGCTTTTTTTCGTCACTTACCCCCAAGTGTGTCGGGGCTCCCCGTACGGGCCACCATCTGCTGGAGTTCTGGCTGCAGCAGAATAATCAGGGGGTGACGAATAACTTGTGTATGTTGATACAGCAGGAGTAGGAGCCGTTTATTGTAGGACAGGAGCAGTATTTATACATTCCACACAGCTTATCTAATTAGCATAAACTAGATACATCAGTCAACCAATAAGGAATCTCCACACTTAATGGCTTGTTTTTGTTACTTCTCAAACCACTCCCTCTGGCATTTTGCCAGGCACCATCCAGACTTGTTTACGAACTCTAACATTCTCCTGGCAAAATGCCAGGTGTTATTTTGACTTGTTTACAGACTCTAACATACCCTCTCTTTAGATACATCCTAGTTATTTTCCAAAGGATGGGTACTTGCTTAATTCCCTTGCTTATAGAAACACTTTCTTATGCAATTGTATAATTATTTCTATAGGGAAAAGGAAGACATGATATATCAAAGACATCATAGACTTTTATTTAAATACCTTTTGGAATATCCATTTTTTAAAAATTTTTCAATGTCTTTTACTTTCAATAATCCATATGATTTTTTAAAAAGGTGTTTGCTTTTTCAGGGGACTACAATGTTTCTTTCTTTCTTTTTTTTTTTTTTTTTTTTTTTTTTTTTTTTTTTTTGCATATTAGCCTGACTGCATTTGGGCATCAATGAAGAATTATGTCTTATTAATAGATTAATAGTTTGTGGGGCAGTATATAGTAGGAAAGAAAAAAAAAAACATGTTTAAAATCTGGGTCAAGTATACAGAGAACATTGGTACTGTCACTGAGATGTAATAATACAATTAATTAGTAATACAGTGTATCTTTGATAAATCACTTAATAAATAAATATGCCTCTTGGCATACTTATTTGATTGAAAAAATATGCCTTACCTAAGCTCAGTTCAAATACAGATACTTTCAATAGAAAGTACAATTACACCCCTACCACATACACTTATAGGTATGTGGTAGTGGTGTAATTGGCATGAGATAATTTCTCCCTAACAGAAATAAAACATGGTGTGTAAATATTGTATTATGGTAGTCAGAATGAGATTAGATAAATGTGAAGAAACAGAGAAATGAGAGGAAAATAAAAAAGAGAATTTGATCCTTGAAGATCATGAAAGATTGAAAAGAAAAAGATATCCTATATGTAGATTACAGAGGTATAATGTTAACGTGCAACCCCCAGCCTTGTCTCTCCGGAATCAAAAGACATGGTATAAAAACAGATATAGTGGAATTGGGGTAGGAGAAGAGTAGAACTAGGAAATCACAATGACTAAGGTCCAGGAAAGGCCAGGCACTAATGATGATGGAGTACTCAGAAAAGTCTTAAATGAATTCATGAATATTTTAGCTCTACTAAACAATGATGAGCAGCTGCAATATGATTACTTCTATTTAGTTTTTGGACTCTTTAAAGCACATATTACTGGATAAGGCACATCTGTCTCCAAAGAATGAGCTGAGGCCAAGAAAGATCTGTCACGCAGCTACACAGAGGAAAAGCCAGACCTGGAGCACTCTCTTCTGACTCACTGAGCTGGACTTCCCTTATCTGGGATTAGTCTAGATCCACAGAAATCCTCCTCTTTCTAAATAATATCAATGCTAGATGCAGAAAAATAAGCACTTGTTGATCTATTTTTTCCTACTCTGTCCTGGAGTTTTTTATGTTTTATTCCAATTTCATTTATAGATATACACTTTACATATGTGCATCAATTTAATATTATTAATAAAATTAAGAAAAGGACTAAGAAATTCTCCTTTCTTATCAAACTTGCAATCTACCAACTTCAGGCCCATTTTATCTAGCTCTTCTTGACCAGGAAAGATAACTGAATTCTTAAGAGTTATTTTGGTCCATAACTGAATTCTCAAGAGTTATTTTGGTCCATACAAGGTGCAGTTTTATTCTCCCCATTTTTATATTTTCTTCAGATGTTCAAGAAGATGAGTGATACTACTTTACCTGCTTATTTCACTTAGAATAATATCTTCCAAGGTCATCCACATTGTTAACTATTGTAGACTTTCCTGCTTTATTAAGACTGAATAATGCCTCATTGCAGGAATATATCACATTTTACATGCAATACTTAACATATTTCAATTCATACAGGCAATGAGTAGAGTGGCATTTTGCAGAGGTTATGAGGAAGGGAAGGAGGGGACTTGTTCAAGGGCTTTAAAATTTCAGACAATAAAGATGACCAAATTCCAGATAAAGCATTGTACCTATACTTAATAATAGAGCATGTGGAACTTAAAAATTCTGTTAAGGCAATAGATCACATGTTTTGGTTCTGGTTACTACAGTGAAAAAAAAGTTTCAAAACAACAGTATAGGGATATGAAGAAACTTTTGGAGGTTATGGATACACTTGTTACCTTGATAGTGAGATAGAAATAGGTATGTGTATGTACAAACTCACCAAAATGTATATATTAACTCAAAAGAGCTAAACAAAGAACCAATCTAGGTGTCTTCAACACAGGAATGGATAAAGAAAATGTGGTATATATACACAATGGAATATTGCTCAGCCTTAAGGAAGAATTAAAGGAAGGCTTTTTCCCCTGTAAATGGATGAAGATGGAGAATATCATGCTATGTGAAATAAGCCAATTCCCACAAAACAAAGGTCAAATGTTTTCTCTGATATACAGTTGCTAATTCGCAATAAGGGGTGAGGCTAGGGAAGAATAGAGTCACTTTGGATTAGGCAGAAGTAAGGAAAAGGAGGGGAGAAGAGCAGAGGTAGGAATGATAGTAGAATGAATCAGATATTATTACCCTATGTGCATATACAACAACATGACTGGTATGATTCTACATCATGTACAAAAAGAAGAATGAGAAGTTAGACTCTAATTATGTATGATGTGTCAAAGGGCATTCTACTGTATAAATTTATAACTAATCAGAACAAATAATAATGTATATGCTAAATATAGGCATTTTTGAATATCAGTTATATATCAAAAAAAGCTATTAATCAACATGTCCTTATTCATAGGTTTTGAAAAGGGAAAGAGAAGGTGGTAAGAAGGCAGAAATTAAAAACTGCTAATCCTTACAGAGACAACTATATTCTTGCCCTCTCATTTTCTAGCACACCCTAGCCACCCATCCCCAGGGTAGATAGCCTTTGGTTTTTAATCAACCATTATTGGCATAGGCTCATGACAGTAGTCAATACAAGATAAAGCTTCCCACCCAGGCTTGAACATCCTCCCCTTTCTGTACCCTCCCTATACCTTCCTGCTGCCCTCACTCCCTGGACCCTCCCACTCCCTTCACTTTCCTGAGAACTTACTGGAACTTTATTCTGCCCTTCTGGGCAGAATAAATCAAGAGTGAGATCTTGCCTGAGGGGACTCCACCTCAAAGGCCACCAGCCAACAATACTCTTTCCTCAGCGCCTCTTCTTCTTCTTTTTGTTGCCTGATGATTTGCACTTCTTCCTCTGAGGCTCTGGGGTTTGAACCAGCTCCAGATCCACATTGTGCCCTCTGGTGGTCTGGAGGGGAGGCCCAGAGCAGGATATTTTTTCCATGTTGCATGAGCATCCAGTGAGAGTGCTCTTCTTGGACCTGGCAACTGGAGGAGGTGGGAGCTGAAGTGTCCTCTCTGGGTTGGTGGGGCTTGGAGTACTTGATCTCCAGAGAATAGGGTTTCAACATGATGGTCCTGGTTCTGGGACATTCTCCAGGGCAGCAGGAGTGCTGGGAGGCTAGGAGGAAATCCAGGTTTTGGAGGTCATCATCCACACTGCAGCCACTGGCTGTCTTATGTGGTGCCTCAGAAGAAGTGGCTTTTATGGGACCCACTATGCCTCTCTTTCCTAGGTTAAAATAGGAGAATCTATGATTCTGGGGAGGCTGGTTGGTGCAGAAGATCCCCAATGAGGAAGACTTGTGAGAGCCTCGCAGGACAGCTATGCCCGTTGAAACCAGCAACTCTGGTTCTGCAGCCCTGAACCTCTTCATGATCTGGGAAGACACCTCTGTGCCCCAGTTCTCCATGATAACCCCTTGATCAGTGAGACATTTGTGTTTATTTACACCTTGGTTGGCAGCTACCTCAGAAGCTTTTGTGTCCTGTTGGAGCATACTATGACCTTGTGGCACCTGCAAGGATGCTTCTTCAAAAGCTAAAGGAGAATATGAGCACTGGCCAACTCTTCCTCATGCATGAAATGGCCAAAAGGGACTGGGACAATTATATTTCAACACGAGGTGGGAGATGGAGTTGTCACTCTTCTTGTTCTCAGAAAGACAGACTGAGTCTCTGCTGGCCACCTTCCTGGGCTTCCTTTCTGCTTGATATCCTGAACCTATCCATGATTCTCCTGTCTCCTTCATTTTTTTTTCCTTCTACATTCTATTTCCTGGAACAGACTCATTCAGAGAGCCACCACAGACAAGATAGGGATAAACAAAGTCCTGTGGGTTACATGAGTAAGGTCCTGTGCCTTCCTCATCTACCTGCCATCCCTTGCTTTCCTCTCCACCTGTGTTCACTCCGTTTCTTGTCTACTTGTTTCCCTTTTCTCCTATTCTGTCATATATCACTGTCTGTGTTACCCACTTGGTGTCTATTCCCAAGCCCCAGTAAACCTGGTGTCTCTACTTCTTTACTTATATTTGGTGCCCCTGTCTCCTTATCTACCTTTTTTTATCCCCAATACCTGTTGTATGTCCACTTGTATATCAGGTGTCCCTACTTTTGTGTACCTCTTACATCTAGTTTACTGGTAGACTTTTCTTCCCCTTTCTACTGGGCCGGTGGTGAGTCCTTCCTGCTGCTCCATCCTTTTGTTAAGGCCAATATATTTAAATATGCTTCCAAGAAAAGTATTTTTTCCAGGAAGTGGGGATGAATTATATTCTCTTCCTGCAATGAGAAGGAAGAAAGAATATCTTTGGGGGAAAATGGCCCTAAGTCAAGAAGCATTCTAGGAGAAAGAGCAAGTAATGATGAGCCCATGCTCCTCTGCACTATGGGCCTGATATATCTCAACTAACAACTACACACACATACACACACACTGCTGATATTCTAAGCTATGAAGCTCAATTCCATAGGTCCTGAAACCTTGTTTACATCAAGATTTTAGGCCCAGCCAACCTTGTTGACAAAGTCCTCATCACATAGCTCAGGTGACTTGGATTTGGGTATAAATCATTCTGAATTGGCTGTTGCTCTAGCCCTTCTTCTCCCAAGTTTGCAGCAGGCTCTCCTGTGAACAAGTGGGAGGGCTCCCACATGGCAAATTTGTTAGGCCTAATAGCTCATCCATGATGTCCATGTACTCTTGGATGACTTCAGGTGGGATCTCCTTGGGTTCCTTCATCTCAGGCCCTTTGGTATTGACCATCTTGTTCTCATGTGCCTTCATCTTGTGTGCCTTTGTCTCAGGCATCTTGGTCTCTGGTGCCTTGGTATTGGCTGCTAATGAGCAGACAGGCCATGCCTTAGGGTTGGTCTTCCTGGAGGTGCATACTAGGACAGGGAGGGCCAGAACGGGGTGTGAATGAGGGACTGAGGACTATGTGCTGCAGGTGAATGGGCAGCATGAGTACCTCTATGGCAGCTACCTGCTCTGTCAGTTCAAGGTGAGGCCTGCAAGGAACCCTCTGCACTCTGGGATCCCTACCACTCTAGAAGGGGCCAGCATAGGAGTGAGAGAGCCAGACTGTGGGTCTCTCTTGGTTCCAGGGAATGGATATACCACCCATTGACAGTTCAACCTTACACTCTCATCTCAGTACATATGCAGCTGCCTGCACAGTGGACTGACCCCCCACCTGACGATGGTTCACTCCTCCTCCATCCTTGCCATGTGGGATGAGCAGAGCAAAGTGACCCCTCAGGTCCAGAAACCACACACCAAACTGCCCCCCATTCCCATGAAGAAGGTGAGATAGTGTCCTCCCCTTTCTTACCCTCTTTCTCTACCTCTCTCCTTTTGGCCAATCCTAGAGCCTCCTGGGCAGCACCAGGGCTAGGCATTGATCCAGGGGACTTTGGATGTTGCACTCCTTTTGGAGATTCAGGGCCTTGAGCTGACACCCAGGGTGGCATCCTGTCTGAGCTACTGCGATCCCAGATTGCCTACTTCTCTGCAGATCTCAGGGGGGCTAGGTCCCCTGGGCCCCTGGGTCCCTGTGTGGCAGATTGGTAAAGGATGGTGGTGGTGACAAGTTTCTGAACCTTGCCACAACGTTGGGACCCTCTCCCCCTTTCCCCAGCCTTTCAGCAGCCAGGGGAATGAGCTGGGATTTAAGCCCCGCTCCTCTCCTCTCTAGCCCTCCTCTGTGTCCCTGTGGTCACTGGGGCAGCCTTTCTGCATTGAGCTGATCCAGGGCAGCAAAATCAATGCTGATGAGCAGATGAAGGTAGGGGCTCGGGTACCAGGTGAGTGGACAGATGTTTTTTTTTTTTTTTTTTTTTTTTTTTTTTTTTGCACAAACAGGGTTGCTGTAGCCTGGAGGGGCAGCAGAGAAAGAAGAGTGGGAGGGTATCACACAAAAGTCACCTGGACACATTACTCATTATCTCTGCCTGGATTGGCTGTGAACCACATCCAAACAATAAGAGGGGAGGGGAGCAGGCCAGCAGGCCAGGGAGGCCAATTAATGGAAACCTGGGCCAAGCAACTTGTGGGTATTTGACTTTGGTGGAGCTTGTGGAATCAGGCACAGCCCATTGAAGTTGGAGGCCCAGTCAGAGATATGTAAGGCACCATAGAAGCTGGCTGCAGCTGGGCTGAGGTGCTTCCATTGGTTACCCACCCAGGGGTGCCCAGAGTCTGGGGGACACTGCACATGGTTCCCCCTGGAAGCTGAGCCCCCATGGGCTTGGGGAACAGTGCCCTGTTGTCTCTTCAAAAAGCACTTTCATGGCTCCTCTGCACTCAGAACCACCTGCAGAGGTGGATTTATTGTCCCACTTCTGTGAGTGATGCCTTTCTGGGTCCACAGAGCATAGCATGTCTTGTCTGGGTCTCTATTTTTGGCATTACTTTACAATATGGGAAGGGGGGTGTGTCTGCAGGAGTCACGGAGGATTGGGTGGGAGCAGCTCTGGGGATGGGCTGGCAGGTTGGAACTGGAACAGGTGCACTGGAGACTGGTCAGGCAGTCTTACGAGCCACATGGGGCTCAGAAGATGCTAGGCATGAAGGTAGCCAGAGCTATTAGAAGCAGAAGGGTCCCTGGAACTTCTGAACCCTGATGAGGAAACTGAGGTTCTGAGTTTACCCACAGAGTCAAGTGTACTGAGACTGGCTTGCCCCAGTACAGCCTGGGGTACCAATGCCCCAAGACACCTGTACCACTGAGCTGCCAGCCTACACTCTGCTGGACCACTCTCAATGCAAGAAGTAGATTTGGACCCCTGTGTAAATGGGGACCTTCAAGGAGAGGATTGGAACTTTAGATGGCTTGGCACCTTCGCTCCCTCACTCATGCCCTGTACCCCTTCCTGAGCTGGTGGTGCAGGCCGGGCTCTTCCATGGCAATGAGATGCTGTGCAAGACGATGTCCAGCTTGGAGGTGAGCGTGTGCTCAGAGCCCATGTGAAAGCAACATCTGGAGTCTGACATCAACATCTGTGACCTTCCGCGCATGTCCCGGCTATGCTTTGCACTCTATGCGGTGATGGAGAAGGCCACGAAGGCACGTTCCAGCAAGAAAAAGTCCAAGAAGGTGGTGGGTTGGGCTGACTGGGAGAGGCCCAGGCCTCAGACACCCAGTGAAACCCCTTACTGGGGCCTCTTGTCATCCTGCTCCCACAGGCAGGCACCCTGAGGACAGAGGTCCTGGGAGAGCCTGGGGGACAACAGTCTCTCTGCCCGCCCCAGTCTGGCTCCTTAGTCTGGCTTCCTGTGCTGCCTGAATAACAGCTCATGAGTTGCCTGACTTGAAATATCTATCCCAGACCTGTGGTCCTTAGGGGTCCTGGAGGCAGCTCCCTTGGTGGAAGGACAGTGTACTCATGGGGACAGAAATGATGAGTTGGTGGCTCCCTGGGTAGAGTGTGGCTGGGCCCCAAGTCACTAGATGCAGGATATGACTTGCCCCTTGTCCTGGGCCAGCTATGAGACTGGTGGGCTTACTCAAGTGTCTCTGGATGCTGGGTGTGAAGATGCAGGCAGCCAGGAAGGGATCTTGCTGGCTTAATTACTGAAACTCTGACAGGAAAGAGATAGCGGGTCATTCCCCTCCTTCTGGGTCTAACTTGGAGACCTTCCATGCAGTCTGGATCTTCTCTCCTGGTTGGCCTGGAGACTGGTTCCATTCTGCATATGAACAAGAAGAGGCTCACTCTGATTTGTAGTATCCTTGTCCACGACTGCCCAATCACCTGGGCCAACCTCATGCTGTTTGACTACAAGGACCAGCTCAAGACTGGGGAGCTCTGCCTCTACATGTGGCCCTCTGTCCCAGGTGGACCCATGCCCAGCAGGGAGAGGCTCTTGGAGGGTAAGGCATCCAGAACTGGTTCCCCTACAACTACATCTGTCCCTGCCTTCAGATGAGAAAGGAGATCTGCTGAAACCCATGGGTACTGTGCATAGCAATCCCAACACAGAGAGTGCTGTCACCCTGGTCATCTACCTGCCTGAGGTGGCCCCTCACCCTGTGTACTACCCTGCCCTGGAGAAGGCCAGTGAGGTCCTTCCTGGAAGCTGAGCGCTAACCAGGAGCTTTCCTGGAGGTCCTTAGAGGGGGTCCCTGGCCACCCCAGGCTTTGCCCATTGCTGGGGACTGGGTCATCATGCTGATTTGAGGCCTTCCAGTAGCTATGTGGCCCACCAGGGGATGTTGGTGATGTCTGATGACATTTTGCTGTCACAGCCAATGGGAGAGGTGCTAGTGGCCTGTGCAGGCTGAGCCTGGAGATGCTACTGAATGCCCTGCAGTGTGCAGGAGGGCTCTCACCAGCAAGAGTGGTTGGTAGTAGTGCTGAGGTGCAGATGCCCTGCCTAGAGCCCTGCCAGTGCTGGCCCAGGCCTGGGGAGCTCACAGCAGGTACACTTGTTGCAGATTCTAGAGCTGGGATGTCACGGGGAGCGTGGGCCTACCATCAAGGAGGAGGTGAGCTGGGGTGCTGGTGGGGCATGGAGCCAGGTGCTGGGCTGGAGGCCTCACTCTGCCTGTGCCCCTTAGAAGCTGCAGCTGCAGGGAATCCTGCAGCAGCGGGGGGTCGGGAGAGCTGTATGAGCATGAGAAGGACCTGGTGTGGAAGATGCGGCATGAAGTGCAGGAGCACTTCCCAGAGGCTCTGGCCCACCTGCTGCTTGTGACTAAGTGGAACAAGCATGAGGATGTGGCCCAGGTGGGTGGAGAGGGGCACCAGGGGCACAGCTGGAGTAGAGAGATAGCAGTGGGCCACCCACCACCTGACTGCAAAGCATCCTCCAGATGCTCGACCTGCTGTGCGCCTGGCCTGAGCTTCCTGTCCTAAATGCCCTGGATCTCCTGGACTTCAGATTCCCCAATTGCCATGTGGGCTCCTTTTCCATCAGGTCCCTGTGGAAACTGATGTGAGTCCCAGCTGGGCACTGAGGCCCACAGGCTGCCAGCTCCTCACTAAGACAGCTTGCCCTGGCAACCTGGAAGTGGGTGCTAGGTGGAGATGAGCCTAGGCTGGCCTCACCCTCTTTCCAGTCACCTGCCAGCTGGAGACTTCTGTCCTGAGTTTCAGAACCCCAGACTCAACCAGCCTTCCTCCCCTAAAGGGACGACAAGCTTTTCCAGTGCTTGCTGCAGCTGGTGCAGGTCCTCAAGTACAAGTCCTACCTGGGCTGCGAACTGACCCAATTCTTGTTGGACTGGGCTTTGGCCAACCGAAAGATTGGCCACTTCCTATTCTGGCATCTTTGGTAGCTGGATGCACGCTGATTCCTTGGGAACCTAGAAAGGCCATGGGGGATGAGGGTCTCCTGGCCTGCTGACCTCATGGTTACTGGGCTGGGGACGGGCTGTGTGCCACTCCTGGCCATTCTCAGCCCCATCTTCTCCCTCCAGCTCTGAGATGCATGTGCCGTCCACGGCCTTGTGTTTTGGCCTCATCATGGAGGCCTACTTCAGGGGAAGCACCCACCACATGAAGGTGCTGATGAAGCAGGTGAGGCTCAGAGTGCCTGTGCCTGAGGTGGGCTCCCCTTCCAGGCCCCTTCACAGTCATACTCCTGGTTCTGGCTCAGGCTCATGTCCACTGCTGCTACTCCATTCTGCCCACCAGGCAGAAGCACTGAGCAAGCTGAAGGCCCTGAGCAACTTTGTGAAGGTGAGCTCCAGGAAGACCACCAAGCCTCAAACTAAGGAGCCGATGCACTTGTACATGTGCCAGAATACTTACCTAGAAGCCCTTTCACACTTGCAGTCCCCATTGGACACCAGCATGATGCTGGCAGAAGTCTGGTGTGCCCCAGGCCTAGCCCCACCTGGAGCCAGGCCCTAAGCCCCTCCCCCACCCTAAGCCCCCAACCGCCCTGGCTAACACTGCCCTCTGCCTGCAGTGTGGAAAGGTGCACCTTCATGGACTCCAAGATGAAAACCCTGTGGATCATGTACAGCAGTGAGGAGGCAGGCAGTGGTGACAGCTATGGCATCATCTTTAAGAATGGGGATGGTGAGCCAGGCTGGGCAGGGGACATGCTGAGGCCTTGGCCTTCTTACCTAGCTCCATACTGTTCTGTGGTAGGGCCCCAGGGGGTTCCCTCAGAAGACAGAGCTCAGATACTCTGAGCCTTGCAGGGTGTATAACCCACTAGAAACTCCTGCCCTTCCAGACCTCCACCAGGACATGCTGACTCTGCATATTATCCAGCTCATGGATGCCCTGTGGAAGCAGGAGGGCCTGGACCTAAGGTCGGGCCTCTGTCCATCATCTGTTTGTTTGGGTCTGTAACAGGCCTCAGAGCTTGAGCCTCTGGAGGAGTTCCTGGTCTAAATTGACAATTCCATGTTGGCTGTGAGAGGGGCTGTTCTCACAAGAGGGGTAGGGCAGCTGGAAGGGTTTGGGTAAGGCCATTCCTGGTGCTCAGCTCCAATTTCCTGGCTTCCTACCCCTTGGGGAGCAGTGCCACCTTCTTCCAAGCCCGCTGACTCATTCTCTTCAGAGCAAACATGAGCCCAGCCAAGGTGTGCTCTGCAATTGGGTGCCAGTTCTGTGTCTCTGAGGCACCTTCCCCAGGGACCCACACCCCCTCTCGCATCCTCAGGAACTTGAGCAGTGTCCCCTGTGGTTTTCTTGGGCGCCTCAATTTCCTGGGGGTTCCAGTAGCCCCAGAGAATGTCCTTAACCATAGTATCTGCCTGTGCCTCCTCTCATGTGCTAGGATGACCCCCTAAGGCTGCCTTCCCACTGGTGACTGCATGGGCCTCATTGAGGTGGTGCAGCACTCTGACACCATTGCCAACATCCAGCTGAACCAGAGCAACCTGGCTGCCATAGCTGCCTTCAACAAGGATGCCCTGCTCAACTGGCTCAAGTCCAAGAACCCTGGGTAGGCTTTCTTATTCCTGGGAGAGGCTCGATAGAGTGAAAGGTGAAGGAAGGCCTGTGACAGTTTCCATGGCTGCTTGGCTCAGCTGAGCACTGGTCCACATCTGATTTAGGGCAGGACAGAGAAGGTCACTGTTCCCAGGTGTCCATTTTTCATGACTGTGTTATGCTACTCAACTATTTGGGCATTAAAACCACCACCATGTTTAGTCACAAATATGTAGCTTGAGTGGGTTCTGCTGAGTGTTTCTGCTGTGGTTTGAAATAGCTGGTGCTATGGCTAGCATCTGTGATATTTTCTGAGCCCAGAGCATCTACCAAGGGCCCAGTCACACACCTAGGGACTTGGCTGACAGATGAAGAGAGGCTGCATAGAGGCACAACTAACAATAGACCTTGGTTTCTCTACATGGTATTGTATGGAAGAAGGGGGCAATTTCAAGCTGGGCATGGTGACTTATGCTCCAGAATAATGCCCTTCTTGTTGATTAACAGAAGGCCAGATTCAAGAGGAGGGAAAATATAAGGAGCCCTGGTTTTCAATCTTCCCCACCCAGAGAGCCCTGGATCGAGCCATTGAGGAGTTCACCATCTCTTGTGCTGGCTACTGTGTGGCCACATATGTGCTGGGCATCCGTGACAGGCACAGTGACAACAACATGATCTGTGAGAATGGGCAGGTAAGGGGCACTGGGTTTAGCTGCCCAGTGAGCTTGTCTTACATGCCTGGCCCAGGGGCCTCTCTGCCCTGCCCACAGCTCCCAGAAGAGTGCCCCCAAGTCCTGCTGACTTCCTCTAAACAGAACCTCTCTTTGTGAAGCCTGTTCAGTAGCTACCCTTCAATCCCCTCAGCTATTTCATATTGACTTTGGCCACTTTCTGGGGAATTTCAAGACCAAGTTTGGAATCAACAGTGAGCGAGTCCCATTCATCCTCACCCAAGACTTTGTCCACGTGATTCAGCAGGGCAAGACTAGTAATAATGAGAAATTTGAAAGGTGAGGGTACCCAGGGCCCCAGTGAGGGGACAGTGTCCATCCAGGGGCAGGGATGGGGACATAGCCCTCAGGCTAACTCCTGCCTCCACCCTGGGGGTGCTGCTTTCTCTGCAGGTGCACCCCAACCCCAGAGTACCCTATTGGGCAGTGCAAACAGGAGGTCCATGGTAGGTGTAGGAGGCAGGCCCAGGCAGCGGCATTGGTTAGAGGATCTGGGTACACCCATAACCTGACCAGGGGCTGACACTCAGGGGCAGGTGCTGGCTGGATGCAGAACCCCTGCTTGTTTGGGGCTAGGTGTGGCAGGGAGGACCCAGGGCTTTATCTATTTCCTCCACCTCTGCAGATTTCGAGGCTTCTGTGAACAGGACTACAGCATTCTGCGGTGCCATGGGCTCCTCTTCCTCCAACTCTTTGCTCTGATGCAGGCAGGAGGCCTGCCTGAGCTCAGCTCCTCCAAAGACATCCAGAATTTGAAGGTATGCCACCACAGGGCCACACCAGACTAGAGGCTAGGGTCCACCATGTACTTCCCAAGGCCTGCCTGAACCTCTACAGCTGTGGAGGAGCCTGCCTCCCCTATGTATAGTATAAAAAATGAGCTCATCCTTGTCAGAGTGCATCTTGCCCAAAAAGCTCAGGGACCTAGGAGATTCACCTCACAGATGGGGGCCCTCATGCCATCCCAGGCCCAGCAGTGCAGTATGGTGGGAAGTGGCCAGAATGTTGCACTCCCTGGGCCTAGTCCCGCCCAGTTGCAGGTGAACTGTGATTTTGTTTGGTCATCCCATGTGTCCTCAGTGTCTTTCATGCATGAGATAAAGTCTCTTGTAGGTTTGCAAGACACTTTCCATTCCTGTCTTTTCAGTTGGTGAGAGGCAGAGTGGGAGGGGGTGTATTCCCTAAAGCTTCTCCTGTCCTTCTCTCAGCTAAGGTGAGGCTGCCTGACCATCTGCTTGCAGTTCTTTTAGGAAGCAATTTCAACAACCCGAGGGGGCAGCAGTACAGGGAGGCAGAAGGGATTGCAGATGCAGCAGGGTCAGGACCCCTGAATGTTGATGCAGTTGTGATGATTCTGTCCCAGGACACTCTGGCGCTGGGGAAGCACTTCCGGGTGAAGTTCAATTAATCCCTGAGGGAGAGCTGGAAGACCAAAGTGAACTGGCTGGCACACAACCTGACCAAAGAAAACCGGCGAGAGTTGCCACCTCTGAGCCACCACAGGCTGGCAAACCTGTTCTGAGGACAGCTACCCTTGGTTGTCCTAGATGGGGCCTCACACCTGAACTGCACCTCATAGGAAAGAACAACACAATTGTCTTTTGTTTACACTAGTTATTTAGACACACAAGAAATGTTTAAAGATCATGGGGGAATGTGATGGACATTATTATCCAAAGTAGATGTACAAAGACACAAATTGGTGTAAATATACTTTGTATACAACAAGAGATATGAAAAATTTTGCTCTATTTGTGTAATAAGAATTGTAATATATTCCTCTGTCATGTAAAAAAAAATAAGAAAAAACCAAACAGCCATGGCTGGGGTTGTAAGCTCAGTAGTAGAGTGCTTGCCTCGCCCTTGTGAGGCGCTGGTTTCAATCTTCAGCACCACATAAAAATAAATTAAAAATAAAGGTATTTGTCCATCTACAAGTGAAAAATAACAAAAAGAACCAAACACCGTAAATGCAAATGCAACCTCGTGCAGAGGATGGGTACTGCACTGTGTCCAACCACTGCTCTTGTCTTAGGATGGGCATTACAGGTCTTCCAGCTGGTGGATCTTGCCCAGCAGAGACTGACCTCCTCTTGGGGAAGCCTTGTTCCCAGGCTCCTCACCTAGCAGTTACTTGGCTTCCTCTCCACTTAGGACACCTCAATCCCCAGATCACCTTCTGTCACCTGTGTGGCCCACCCTGCATGTTCTCCATTGACCAAGTCTTGGGCAGCTCCCAAAGAAGCCAGGGCACCCTGTAGCCACAGGGATGCTTACTCTTCACTGCTAAAGTGACTCTCAGGTAGAGGATGCCCTCACCTCTTTCACCTTCAGGTAAGAAAATAATACCACTCTATTTACTGAACTTCTACAGCTGCAGAGGAGCCTGTCTCCCCTATGTACAGTATAAAAAATGAGCTTGGCAGAGCTCCTCCTGGTCAGGGTGAAAGGTCAGAGGGGTTCTGTGTGGTGATGTGTGAATAGGCTGCCTGCTCTGGCAGGTTTAAGGGAGGGATGGGACTTGATGTCCCCCCAGGGCTCACCTTTGAGGAACCATCTGGGAATAATCTTGGACCATATCAGGCGGGATCTTTCTCTCTGAGGGCACTTATTCTGAGATAGTCCAAGCTTAGCCTCAGTAATCCCAAAGGGCTAGACAAGAGAAACTGTCCCTACTGCAGGTTCCCGTGCCTCTTTCAGCTTTCTGAAGCCCACTGTAGTGAAGCATCCAGGACTTGGACTTTTAGAAACACACAGTGGGCTGGGGCCAGAGCCCATCATAGAGCATGTGCTGAGTATGCATGAGGCCCTGGGTTTGATCTCTAGCAGTGTAAACAAAAATATATGAAGAAGCCCCTGGTAATCCTGATACACAGTTAGCTCACTCAGGACCTTCTGGGCTCACTGCTGATCTCTCAGGTGTCTCCCAAGACTTGGCAGAGACAACAGACTCTGGCCTTTAGCAGCAGAGGTGCACAGCTTGTAAGGAATTCCAGATGCCAGCTCTCTGCATTTTCAAAAGCTGTTGTGCCACCAGAGCACCTGTCTCATCTGCAGTAGCCAGAGATGACAATTTTGTTCCCAAATAAATGCTGAATTTAATCAGGCCACCTGCCTCATTTACAATAGGAAAAACCACACACATGTCTATGTATTATGCTTCAAGGCGTGGGCTACAGACCTTGCACAACCTCAGCGGTTTCTGGGTGTATGGTCTGTTGCCCAGTGAGAACAGCTTCTATTTGTTTTCAATCATTTCATGTGGCAAGTTAAATATCACTGATGTGGGTTGAGTCTGCAGTCTTTTGTCACAAGACAGAAAGGCAAGTGGAAAGAAATTAAAGCCTTTCTATGGTCTTATGTTCTTGGCTCAAAAAGAAATCAAGGGAAAACAAAATTTAAACAAGCCAGTAAACAGGCATCAGTACAGTTGGAGTTAGAACCAGAACTTTACTGTAGTGTACACACTTTCCCACCTAGCATCAATACATGCATTTGGGCAGGAACACCAAGGCACTACAGACCATATGAGGACATCCCTCTCTGTTAGCTTCTACCACTGTCTAGACAGCATCTACACAGACTGCATGTGGATGGGCAGCCACACAACAGCACAGCCATCCTTAAGACTGGCAGTGAGGACACAGGGGCAGTGTGCAGGATGACCCCCAGGTTTACAGTCTAGCATCTGACATGTACATGAAGATTAAAGTTCTTTGTGGCTCTAGCCCCAAATCCTCCCAAGAGGAGATCAGTCTTTGCTGGGGTGGGGTAGATGCAGACTGTTTTGGAATATTGTAGCACTCTGCCTTCCTCCATTATGAGTGCAGATCCCTCAAGAAACCACTGCTATCTCCAAAACCAAGTGGTCAAGTGATCTGCACCACAGCTTTCAGTTTCAATGAACCACAGAGAACTTCACCAGCAGGAAAATGGACATTTATGAAGCCTCATTACAGGAACACAAAGCCTGGGTGACAGAAAAGGAAGCTTATGGTCCTGAGAGGAGTGCATGAGAAGCCAGGGACCCCACAGCTCCCATCCCAAACATGACGCCAGAAGTGTGCAGAACCCCAAAGACGAGGACCCATTTCCAGACTTCAAACACAAACCACTACTCTGGTCCCAAACAGCACACCAAATCTAACATAGCCTCATGCCTAGACCAGAGTGAGTAGGCCTCCCCTCCTCATTTCCCAAGGGAGAGGGAACAGAAACAGAGTCACTGCACTTGGCATCCTAGTCCTGAGTAGACCTGCACAAAGGACACAGAGAATTACAATGTATTTACAAAGCATTAAAAAGTGACTTGATCATCTACATATTAACCCCATTCTCCCATTTGTATAAGCACTAGTTTGGAAAAAAATAAAGACCTTCAAAAAGAAAAAGAAAAAAAATGATTACCAATTTTTACTCTTTGTCAGCTGGTCTAGTCACTGCAACTTTTCTGGAGGTGCAAGAGGTGGGCAACTCACTGGATGGCAGGAGCCTGGAGTGATGCAGCCCCTGAGCTGGCAGGATGTGGCAGGGAGGAAGAGTCAGCTCCTGGCTTTTGGGAAAAAGAGATCCTGCAGGGGTGGGAAGATGGTGGGAGCCTACAGTCCCACACATTGGGCATGAGAGGATAATTAGCAATGGGAGTCCACAGCCACCTGCTGGCTGAAGAGATTTTGTACATGGAGGACCCGCTGGTTGGGAGATGTGTAGCAGATACTCTGAGGTGGGGTTGCAAGAGTCCAGATTGCACTCAGTAGCTGAGTGTGGAGCTTTCCCACTTCAGCTGCTGATGCTGGTTGAAGTTCTGGCTCTCCCCAGGGCCACCCTCCTTCTCCTCACAGCTCTCCCACTGGTTGATAATGATGTCTTCCTCCTCCTCCTCTCCAGCCTCACACTGCTCTTCCTCTTCCTCCTCCTCCTCCTCACCACTGTGCTAGTACTGGTAGGTCTGCGAGTCCAGCTCATCGCCAAGTCACTGAGTGTCCACCTTCCAGGAGCACCAGCAGAAGGGAGATGTCCCCCAGTGAGGGAGATTGTCCAGGGACAGCAGCCTAGGCCTCACTGGAAGTGGCCTCTCCATGGAGTCCAGGCATGCAGAGAGCTCCTGGATGGGGATGCTCAGTTCCCTCCTTGGAGCACTGTCTCTGCATAGAGTGGGAGGAACACCAGCCTGAAGCCAGCTCATCTCTGCACTTACACTCACTAGGTTGTATGAACTTCAGTAAGGCCTCACTGAGCCTCAGATTACCCCCTTGGATTTGAGGATCCTAGCTTACCAAGTTTTGTGGTTATAAGGTGGAGGCCCATGGACATGGAGGAGCCTGGCCTACAGTACTCTGCATCCTGGGGCCTTGTCTGCTTCTACCTCCTTTTGGAGTTCATGGTGATGGTCAAGGCAGAGTCATTGCCACCCACCTCATTCTCCTTCCCCATGTCCTGGTCCCATGAGGTTCACTGATGTGCAGCCCAGATATGAAGCTCCCCTAGGATGATCATAAACACCATGAAGTAGATGCAAACAGCAATCACCATGGTGGCAGGATTCAGAACGACTGTCATGGGAGAAAAACAGACAAACAGGGCTGCAGAGAGGTCACCCAGATTGAGGCTTCCCACCTGTCATTGGCTATCCTAGGTTGGCACACTCCACCTGACCCTCAGAGAGTAGAAAGCGCCAGAAAGAGGTTTGTGTGGTCACAAATTGCTCCGTCACTGTGGCTGTGGGCAGGCAATCATTTACTTGTGTGTGATGGGGAGTGGGAACAGAGCTGCCGTGCTCCTAGCCAGGTGGGACAGGGATATCTGCCTAAGCTCTGTGTGATGCTTAGTGTTTGCACCTAGGTGCCTCCCAAGTCCTTCCTGTAAATGATTGAGGACTGAGCAGGTTGTGGCCTGACAGGTAAACAAAAATGCATTGCTTAGGGTGAACAAACTGTGGTTGGGCAGCCATGTGGCTGGAATATTCCACAGGATTGGCAGCATGGATCGTGTTCACCTGCAGTGGACAGGATCATTAGGGATGAGCATCCTGACTGTTTCCAAGAGGAGAAATGGGGCAGCAGCATCTGTGAACAATGCTAGTCTGAGTATCCCCTGGGCCCTGCTGTAAGAAAATGGTGCATGTGTCAGTGACCAGAAAACAAAACAAAACAAAACAAAAAAACACTTGTAAGAAGTTAGAAACCACTGTAAATCTGATGTTGTTCCATGTCCAAGAAACAGCACTTTTCTATTTTTTATTTTTTATTTTTTTAAAGAGAGAGAGAGAGAGAGAGAGAGAGAGAGAGAGAGAGAGAGAGAGTTTAATATTTATTTTTTAGTTTTCTGTGGACACAACATCTTTGTTTGTATGTGGTGATGAGGATCGAACCCGGGCCACACACATGCCAGGTGAGCATGCTACCACTTGAGCCACATCCCCAGCCCAGCACTTTTCTAATAACAACAAACAAACAAACAAAATCAAAACAAAACAAAAAAACCACTTGTAAGCACTTAGAAACCACTGTAAATCTGATGTTG